TTCATCTACGTCATTTTTAACATCAAGCCGCGCAACGCGCGGGTGAAGTACTAGTATCCAATCAATTCGGTTCCTAATCGTTCTTTGACAAAAAAATTATTACACTATTGAAACCGAAACGGCAACTAAATTGACATGAATGGTTCTTGAAAAGAAAAAAATAAAATAAAATAAAAGTGAACCAAATCCTGCCCTAAAACCCTGCGCAGCTCCTCAGCAGCTCTCAGCCTCTACAGTCCTCTCTCTATCCTCTCTTTCAATCTACATTCACCAGTTCCAGCCATGGAGGGAAAAACCCATGAGGAAGAGGATCAAATCGTGACTCCATGGGAAGTAACCGCCGAAAAGGGCGGCAAAATCGACTACGACAAGCTTATCGACAAGTTCGGCTGCCAGAGGATCGACCAGCCGCTCGTTGATCGCGTCGCCCGCCTCACGCGCCGACCTCCTCACGTATTCCTCCGCCGCGGCGTCTTCTTCGCCCATCGGGATTTGAGTGACGTCCTCGATGCTTACGAAAGAGGGGAGAAGTTTTATCTCTACACGGGCCGTGGCCCCTCATCGGAGGCACTGCATTTGGGCCATCTCGTGCCCTTCATGTTCACAAAGTAATTTTCAAATATTCCATCTTTATTCTTTTGGTTCTTTATGTTATTTTCAGAATAGTGAATGTTCTTTTTTTTACTGGCTTTAGGTATCTGCAGGATGCATTTAAGGTCCCGCTTGTAATACAACTAACAGATGATGAGAAATGCATGTGGAAGAATTTAACTGTGGAGGAAAGCCAGAGGCTTGCCCGTGAAAATGCTAAAGATATAATTGCTTGTGGTTTTGATGTTTCAAGGACGTTTATATTTTCTGATTTTGATTATGTTGGAGGGTAGGTGATAATATACCCCATTTGCTTTTTCTTTTTTATTTGTGAAGTTTTATTTTTTTATGTACATTCGGGAAAAACGATAAGTTTTATTTGATCTGTTATCATTCAATAACAACTTAATTATCTTATATGCCTGTGTCCATTAGGAAAGATTATAGGTTAATCTTAAGTATCTGTACAATTAGG